TTGAATTACGCTCATGGCACCAAAAAAAATGAAATGATTGATTGAATAAAATATGTCTGATAGCTAGGGACAATCATTAAATGTTGATTTTGTTCACAAATCAAGTGAAAGGAGGAATAAAGGAGGAATAGTAATATAAGTATATATATATATAGTTATGGTGGGGAAGAATTGTGATTTCAAACTCCTTCCACCTGAAGTCAGGGTATAGTCAATACATTGTTAAACACAGATCTGCACAGCCATAAGACTTACTTTTCCCACAGAAATCTAATGTTACTACTGCAAAGGATTCTGGGTGGGAATATGCACATTAGTAAAACAAAGAATCACATTTTTGCCTCATTATTCCATTTTAAACATGGATTCCTTGGAGTTTGTGTTTGCTGTATACATCTCATCCTGAGTTGTGTTTCAAAGCTGTTGTATACAGCAAAACACAAACTGTTTTTGGGGGGGAGGGAGTGGAACCTTGATTTTTATCCAACTGTTTACATTTTGAAGATAGTGTTCCACCACCATTCTAGAAAAGTACCCAGAGCTCTTTATGTATTTTACACATTTAATTTTTATCTTGGAAAAAAAAAACAACATATTTTTTTTTGCCATGCATCTGATGTCCCATCTTCTACCATTGTCAAGTGGTACCTGTAGCCACCCTTGAGTCATTGATACAGAGCCTGGTACAACTCTAAGCCATGTGAGTGGTAGTCCTATAATAGCACTTAAGCACTTTCTGTTTTTAATAGTTCACACTAGGTTGTTTCTTTTTATTTATTTTTAGGTATTTTTTTTATTATTTTAATACCTACAATTCTTATATGGTTGTTTAATTTATTTTTTTAATACACATTTTCTATCACTGGGATTTGTGTATGTACTGATATTTCTTTGGATTTCATCACAAGTCTAATGTATATTTCATTTACTCCTAGGCCTAAAAGCTGAAAACATTTCTCACAGTGGAATAGGTCGGAAAATTCAATTTTTTAAGCTCTTGGCACTAATTTGTATAAGAAACCATAAAACTGGCCTAATTTTATTGCTTAATTTTGCATTTCCACAGCGGTTATACTTTGATCCTATGCATTGCAAGGAAGGATAAATAATGTGCATAAGTCTGCCTCATTCTTTGTTGACAGTTGAACACCGGCTTTTCAGCGCAGAAAATGTTAACAATCTTTATCCCTTAAGCAGTCTAAAGGTGGTCTTTAATCATATCATAGCAGGAGGACAGCTGTGTGTCCTCTCCTGCAAGTGTCTCTACAGAGGAGAACAGTGTCATATGCAGCACCTCTGTCTCCCTTAAATATATGAAGAAGGATAAATTTATCCCACCTCATTATATTAATTAACATGTCCCCACCTCAATGTGACTCTAAGGGGTTAATTGCAAATAGTAAAGGAGCTGTCAGCTGGTATGATCTCTACCAATGCCCAGTGGTTGGGGACGCTTAATAAAGAGATGCGAATAATAACTCCCTCCCCCCCCCAATTTGTGATGGGTTGGTGATAGCATATCAAAGACTGATTTCTTCTAATTTTGGATTTTTTTTGCAATTTTCTCCCAGAAATAATGTGCAATTATTCTGTGGTCCTATTATTTATTTAAATTGTGGTCCCTTTTTGTACCCAAGTTGATCTTTGAACTGTACTTGATTCAGATAAGTACATATTGTATTTTTAGTATTTGTTGATGTAAACTTTTAGCTCTTGTTCCAAATCTGTACCAGCTTAGTCATGTTGGATCCCAGTGCTGAGTCATCTTCTGGGTTCTCAAGGAACATGTAGTTTGGCTCCAGCTCTTGGAAAAGTGTTTTGTGGCTTAAACATCCAGATATGCCATCTTCTCGACTATGCATTTCACAATTTGTAAAGGATTTTCTATTTAGTCTTTGATGGTAGCTTGTTTTGCAAATAAATGTTGAGTTGGTTGCCCTCTGTCAATATTATTTTGGTTATCTCCACTATGCTAAGATTTTTCCTCTCTGACATTCTCAGGGTAATTCACTATTCTAATGGATACAATAGTCAAATTCCCGAATGGCATTTCTCATATTTACTAAAGCTAAATTCATTGGAATTCAGTCAGACCATTTAAATTTGCACCAAATCACCGCTTTTTGCATCTTATCTCTATATAAGGTATAAGATTCAGAATATGTACAAAACACCAATTTCAAAATGAATAGAGACTGAATTCATCAGGCAGGATGCATGTTCGCAAATTAGCGCTTGCTAACTTTTAGCAAGTGAAAGATGATTTAAAGTACTGTTTGCCTACTGGGAGAGTTAGCAGCCAGAGGGCAAATAGTTAAAAAAAAAAAATTTTTTAAAAATCTTGGCAGTAACCATGTATAGTCTGGCCAGTGCTACCACATTAAGAAAGTTAAACATAAAAAAAAATAAGCTTGTGGGTTATAATATGACCCACATATTAACATTTAAAACCTCCCTTATACCCACAGCTGCCATGTCGCAGTTTGGGGCATATCTATTAAACACTGAGCCCCCACCCGCCAACATTGGGTGGAGCTTTTGGGGAACAAGGCAGGTAGGAGGATAAGGGAAGTTTTAAACCTTATTTTTATTTATTTATTTAGTTGCATCCCTTCGGAAGAAATCTGGACCAAATTAATGCAGTTCAGATGCTGTTTTGCAAAGTCCAGACATTAAATAGGACACATTAAATAGTGTGAACAAAGTTTGTTTTTTGTAGTCTGAATGGCCCTGTACAATGTATGTTTTTACCTTATTTGGTATGGGGCCATTTTGGACGTCAGTGAATAACTGTTTGTTTTCTTCAGGAGTGTATTGTACAGTTTGTGGTATTTGATGTCTTGATCTTTCAACTATGTATGTGCTTACAAATACAAAAAGAAAAGTCCTGCGCTCACTCCCTTCACTCCTGGGCAGCAGCAACGACCACAGTACTCATCAGCTCAAATACATATAGTAAAAACCAAAGGGAAAAAAGTTACCTGTGCTCTCTCCTTAACCCTATGCATATTTAATCAAATGGAGGTCATTTCGTTACTCCAATGGCCACTGGTGGGAATGCCCGCCTGCCAACGTCAAGGCAGATCCCCCTAGACGGGTCGTACTCTGAACCTTCACCTTGCTTCCTTGAGCTTCTGGCAAAGATATATCTAATGAGACAGAAAGGGGTATTTTTTTATATACACCCCTATATACTTATTAACTCTTAATAGGGAACACATGGGATGGGCGGCAGCATTGTCACCTAGCTGTGTGATAGAAAAAGTGAATACAAATACAAAAAGAAAAATCCTGCGCTCACTCCCATCACTCCTGGGCGGCAGCAGCGACCACAGTACACATCAGCTTCAATACATATAGTAAAAACCAAATGTATGTGCTTACCTAGTCAGGTATTCACCCTTATTGCTCATGCAGTTTATTACTGGTCACTGCGAACAAAACTCATTTTAGAGCTTTGTGAGACATGACATGATGTACCAGGAATAGTAAATTAATGAAGCCCTCCAAATATATGTTAAGCACACATAACAGGTTATACCTCCTATTTTTGTGCAATTTTGATTTCAATTTAACTATCAACGTTTATGAATTCTTTGGGGATTTGGATTAAAAAATCCTGACATTAGTCAAAACATTTAATTAGCCAGAATTTTATCCAGGTTTCATCTAGTCTGAATGTGGCCCAAGTTGTTCAAATCAAAACCTATTGTAAACATTCAAACTATTTGCTTGCTGCAATTGAGTACTGGCCAAAGTATTACAAGTTAAACCACTATAATACGTACATTAAGATGGATGCCCTTGTTTTTTTTTCAGTGCACAAATAATGAACCATACGGTTTAATAGTATACGTATATAATGAAGTCTCAGTTAATGACCCAACACATTAATATTTGAGCATAGTACACTACTTTTCATGTTATAAGTCATGAAACATATCAACGCCTCTTTCGTTATGAAAAGGATAAATGTTGAGGAGACTGCTTAGTACTATGAATGCTTAGTAAATACTGATTGATTCTGCTTTTCAATGAGTTACCTAAAACAGAACTGAAATTGCAATCCCCTGCTATTTGCACAAGGAGCCTGTTTTCACAGGTAGATATTAAATCTTGCTGTAATCATTCCATGGCTTTTGTATCACAATGCATGACTAGGCATGCCTGTTTGAAACAAGGACACTAACCTGCCAAATAATTATTGTTTGAAATAACATTTACACATTTCTTTATTTTTTACTTCCTTTAATTTACCTTGGGGCTGAAGACACTATCGGGGTTATTCACTAAACGCCCGATTTTGTTCAGATGGACAAAGTTCCGTGAAAGGTACCAAATCCTGACATTGGAAATTCTCATATTTACTAAAGCCAAATGCAGTTGGAATTTGGTCGTCTCGAACAAATCTGCAAAAATCACCTGGATGCATTCGGTGTCTGGATTAAAATAGATGCTTTTACAAATAATCACAAATCACCAGTTTTAATAAAATTCAGGGCTAACTACATCGCGCATGCAGTGCTTTCATGCAAGTAAATAATAATTTTAAGAACTATGTGCTCGTTGGCAGGGCTAAGTCACTAAGATAAATGTCTGATCCTTATAATTAAAGAAATACAAAGTCAAATTTTATTAAATACAATCAAAATACAAATTCATTTATGTTTGCCTATGATACTGGCACTTATACCAAGCTAGATCTGCTAAATATGCAAAGATAAATCAATGTACAAAATACAAGAATCTTAATTTGAAACATACAAAAATACAAATCATGAAAAAAGTAATAGATTGCTGTACTAAATTACCTGACAAGTGGACAGGAATAAACACCCAACATTTTGGCTGTGAGGCCTTTGTCAAGGGTGATCGTTAGTCACTACACCATATGTATTTACAAGCATACAACCATTTTAAAAAGGCGGTTAGACCTCCCTCTTGTAGACCCAAATTAAATAGAGGACAGCTGTGGTACCCAATACCATGATAATAGGCTTGACACTAAGATTGTGAAACACGTACTGTTGCTATAGCAACAGGATGCCTCGGTCGATATGCACATTTCGTTATCTAGATACCCCAACAATGCACACGCTGACCGTTCCCCTTACACCCCTGTATATACGCACAACCAGATCGGCACATAACAGTATCATAAACTTGCTCGATTTTCAATATAAGCATAGCCCCGTGCGGAGACAATTCTGGGTGTTATAGTTCCAGTACGGACACCCACACTGTTCAAAATACCACAGTGTGCATGTGTCCATACTCCTGATGAAATCTAAGATGTGTCGAACATACAGTACCTTTTGCCACACTGAGAGAACATGTTCCCATGTCTAACGGTCTGTAGGCTTTTCATTATCAGTAATATATGTGTCCACATGATCCTCAATAGTCAGACATAACTGAAAACTAATTTTAAAAAGTAAAATTAAATTAAATAACAGACAAAACAGAAAAAAAGAAAAATTAGAAAATACAAAAATAATAATAATAAAATAAAAATAAAAACAAATGGAATAATAGAAAATAAAAAATTAAAATAACCAAATAATAGAAAACATAATAAATAATAAAGAAATAAAATCTAAAAAAGAACAATTAAAAAAGAAAAAATGCAGAAAAATATGAACAAAAATGACAAATTAAACAATAAATAAAAATGAATAATCATAAAAAAAATTATAATAAAGAAAAAATAATAGTAATAAAAAAAAAAAGGAGTGGGCAAGGGGGTTTTAAGGAAAAATCATCCAGAGCAGACAGAACATGTTTGTGCATCATCATAATATTATTGGTGTTCTCTTGTCACTTAGAGAGGCCATATTGTGCATTGTCTACAACCACGGAGGTCAATTGTAAAGGAACCACATAGTCACCACCTGTCATAAAACAAAAAAGGATAACAAAAAGAGAAAAAAAAATTAGTGACATAAAATATGGTATATCCTTTGGAGATGGACAGTGATAAAAAAGGCTGCATTCAAATATATAATATCAGCCCTTTCGAGTCATTCCAGCACAGAATCCTTGATCGAGCGAGAATAAGTCTCAAAAAGAAAAATGACCTAAAGCACGAGAAGTCCCTGTCAGTATTGAGGCCCTTTGTATAAAGAGTATCCAATTCATATATACAGAAGAGCTCTCTTTGCTCAAGTTTCTTTTTCCGATCGCCACCCCTGCTGGCTGTTCTCATATATTTATGTACCTAAGTTGCGAGACAGCATGTTTACAAGTTTCAAAATGTCTCACTACAGCTGATTGTTGGTTATGATTTTGTATATTGTTTTTTATGTTTACCAATTCTTATTGTGAATGCTTTACTGGTTTCCCCAATATAAGCCAACCCACATGGGCACTTCAGCATGTAAACTACAAATGAGGTCTGGCAATTATGCTCAATAGGAATAGGTACTTTTTCTTTGTCCCAGTGGGCAAAAAAGAATCTGACAGGATTGCTCCATTGCAATTTATGCCACACCTGTACATGCCATTGATGTTATTCAGCCAATTGTCATTTGATTGTGTTGTTGGGGGTATTGCTGCATGTACCAAAGTGTCTTTGAGACTCCTTGCTCTCTTATATGCCATCACTGGGGGTTTCCTTTAAAAGATCCTCTAATTTTGGATCTGAGCTCAAAACATGCCAGTGTTTGTAGATAATGTGTTTAACTCGAGGGAGTTAGCTGAGTATGTTGTGACACACGAAATACAATCAGTCGTATATCTCCTCCTTCGTACAGTGTCATCTCTGTCCAGCACTTTCCTCTTACTCTCAAGGAGGATCTGTTCTGGGAAACCCCTACCTTGCAAATCCTTCAATAGTTTATCAGCCTGTGTCTCAAATCTATCTCCTCCCCAGTTTCTATACGTTTGATCCGGGTCAGCTGTGAATTTCTATTTTTATATTTCATTTTATTATTATTTTTTGTATTTGCTAATTTTTTATTTTTTCTGTTTTGTCTGTTATTATTATTTTTCTGTTTTTATTTTTATATTTTCATTTATTACTTTTCATTATATATTTGTTTTGGTTATTTATTTGTGTGGTTTATTTTCTTTTCTTTTACTTTTTAACCTTTGTTTCAGTCATGTCTAACTATTGAGGATCATGTGGACTTATGTATTGCTGATAATGATAAGCCCTATGGGTTATAATGGGTTGAGACATTCTAATATGGAGACCTACAGACAGTTAGACGTGGGAACATGTTTTCCCAGTGTGGCGAAAGGCACTGGATGTCCGACACATCTTAGATTTCAGTAGAAGTATGGGCGCATGTGCACTGTGGTATTTTGGCCAATGTGGGCTTCTGTACTGGAACTATAATATGCAGGATTGTCTCCGCACGGGGCTATGCTTATATTGAAAACCGAGTGAGTTTACGATACTGTTATGTGCAGATCTGGTCGTGAGTGTATACAGGGGTATAAGTGGAACGATCAGCATGTGCAGTGTTGGGGTATCTATATAACGATTTGCTCATATCGACCGTGACATCATGTTGCTATAGCAACAGTACGTTATTCACAATCTTGGTGTCCAGCCTATTATTACGGTAGAAAAAATATAGAAATGAGGGAGAAGCAACCCTAGAAAACAGGAGCAGATCCCCTCAAAACTAGTACCCCCACTTGAGCCCTTTTAGTACCCCTGTAACCCATTCTCTTTGTACGCTTTTGCTGGACATGTTCTAGAGTACATTGTGTCTAGTATCTATTATTACGGTATTAGGTACCACAGGTGTCCTCTATTTAATTTGGGGCTGTGTGCAGTGTCTGTGTAATTTATGCAGTGGTGTAGTGGATATAGTGTGAAGTGAATACAGTGTACGTATAGTGAATGCAGAGTGTATGTTTGTGTAGTGGATGCAGTGTGTGTTTGTGTAATGAATGCATAGTGTGTGTTTATGTAGTGGATGCAGTGTGTAAAGTGGCAGTGTGTAGTGCAAAGTGACGGTGTGTACAGTGGAAGGAGGCAGTGTGTATAGTGTAAAGTGGTGGTGTGTGAAGTAAAAATTGGCAGTATGTATAGTGTAATATGGCGGTGTGTACAATGGAAGGAGGGAGTGTGTATAGGAGAAGGTGGCTGTGTGTATAGTGTAAAGTGGCAGTGTGTAAAGTTGCAGTAAGTATAGTGGTGGTGTGTACAGTTGAAGGTGTCAGTGTGTATAGTGGAAGGTGGCGGTGTGTACAGTGTAAAGTGGCAGTGTGTAAAGTGGAAGTGTACATTGTGCAAGGTGTCAGTGAGTATAGTGCAAGGTGGTAGAGTGAAGTGAGAAATGGTAGTATAGGAAGGAAATTTGAGGGGGGGAGAGGAATGAAATTTGAGGGAGGGAGGGGAGGAAAGAAATTTAAGGGGGGAGGAGGGAAATTTGTGGGGGGTAGAGGAAGGAAATTTGAGGGGGGTAGAGGAAGGAAATTTGAGGGGGGAGAGGAAAGGAAATTGGAGGGAGGAGGAAGGAAATGGAGGAGGGGGGAGAGGAAGGAAATTTGAGGGAGGGGGAGAGGAAGAGGAGAATTTGAGGGGAGGAAGGAGAATTTGAGGGAGGGAGGGGGGGGAGAAGAAGAAGAAGGAAATTGGAGAGGGAGAGAAGGAAGAGAGGGAGGGGGAGAAGAAGGAAATTGGAGGGGGGGAGAAGAAGGAAATTGGAGGGAGGGGGAGAAGAAGGAAATTGGAGAGGGGAGAAGAAGGAAATTGGAGAGGGAGGGGGAGAAGAAGGAAATTGTAGAGGGAGGGGGAGAAGAAGGAAATTGGAGAGGGGGGAGAAGAAGGAGAGGGGGGAGAAGAAGGAAATTGGAGAGAAGGGGGAGAAGAAGGAAATTGGAGGGGGAGAAGGAAATTGACGGGGGGAGGGGGAGAGATTGACATCCATCACACACACACACAATGCACCCCTTGCACACAGAAAAACACACAATGCATTACACACAGACACACATACACAAGCAATGCATCCCTTACACACAGCAACACACAATGCACCCCTTACATACACTCAATGCATCCCTTACAGACGCACACACTGCATCCCATACATACACAAACTCACCTTGCAGCCCTTACACATACAAACACAGATTCACAATGCATTCCTTACACAAATCAAGACATCCCCCCCCACACACTCCACCCCCTGTGAACAAACTCATTTGTGGAACATGAAGGTGGACCTTGGGACCCAGACCTTGAGCTGTGTAAAAGGCCCTAAAAAAATGGAGCTGCTTCCCGTTGATCCCAGAACATTGATTTTTGTGACCACAGTTACAAACCGCCTCCAGAGAGCCTGTTCTACACCAGACCAGTGGAGCCAGACGGCAGCTAGAGCCCATCATCATCCTCATCTGGTTGTAATTAGGTAATCTAGTATATTATTTGTGGCACTAATCTCTAATTTTCCTCACATTAAAGGGACACTATAGTCCCCAGAACCACTACAGCTTAATGTAGTGGTTCTGGTGTCTAGCCTGTCCCTGCATGCCTTTTAATGTAAACACAGCGGCACTGCAGCACTGGTGTTGGTTAACATGGCAGATCATATGGGTGGGTCATTGTGATGTCACATGGGGGGGGCGTCAAACTTTACTTTTGCCTAGGGTGGCAAATATCCTTGCACCGGCCCTGCAGACACTGCATTCCTGTGGGCGGACTCGGGGGGGGGGCAGCACTTTGGGCGGACTCGGGTGCAGGCACCGGGGGGCCCAGACCTTGAGCTGTGTCAGGGGCCCCAAAATTTGTAAGGGCAGCCCTGTACACACTGGTACAAACATAGACACACAAGTACACATACTGTCAGGGAGCCGCGGGCGGCGAGGAGGGGAGGCTGCACGCCACTTGCAGCACTCACCCTCAGTCCATCGCCGCCCGAGGTCTCCTCTCTACTTACCTGTCGGCGAGCGGCGTCTCCTCTGTGCCGCCCGCCGCCAGCGTCCTCCACGCCCCCCAGTGGCAGCATGTATAACGCTGCACGCTGGGAGGTCCAGGAGTTAAGTAAACGCCGGGGTCACGTGTGTGACCCGGCGTTAAAGAAACAGTGCCACAATCACAGTGGGGGGTATAGATATCCCCCACGTGTGATTGTTAATTCTGATTGGAAGTTATCCAATCAGAATTAAACCTAGGGTATTTATACTTACCTTTCCTGTCCCTCAGTGCCCTGTTGTGGTCTTGTGATACCTGTAGCGTAGTGTTCTCGTCTTGCTCTCTGGTTACCGATTATTT